CGGGCAGGGAACTCGTAGTTGCCGTAGCGCAGGGGCACGCCGTACATGTCCAGGAAGGTGTAGATGAGTGTGAACTGGAAGGCAGGGTGGGCAGGGGTGACGTGGCGCCGTGGCACTGCCTGTCCCCAGAGGTCTTGGCCAGGCTTGGGGCCGCAGGGACCCCCCAGGGCCACCCCAAACTCCCTCCAGCAGCCACAGAGAGGCCCAGAAGGGCACCGGGATGGCCACCAGCTCCAAACCCACGGCAAAAGTTGCCCCTCTCAGAGGGGAGGGAAAGATGGAGGGAGAAGAGCTCTCCCCACCTCGACCCCCAGCCCCAGGTGGGCGCTCGGTGCTCACCAACAGCAGGCAGGGGGTGAAGAAGGCCCAGCACGCCTTGAAGTAGCCCAGCATGTGGCTGCACCAGGGTGGGCACCGGCAGATCATGTCCACGATGTCCTGGCAGAACTGGTTCACGCCTGCAGGCACCCGGGGAGAGGGTCAGGGCCGTGCCCCTGCCTGCCCCCAGCGTGGCCCTGCCGGCTGCACCCGCTCCAGGGTGCCCACGACACCCCATGCTGGGGCCGAGCCGAGGTGGTGTTGGGTGCTGAACATCCACCATGCTTCGGTGGGTGGAGAGGAAATTGCATCCCCCATGCACAGGGAAAATCACAGCCCGGCTTTGCACCACCTCCTTGCAGGGCTGAGCTGCGCGTGGGCAGCAGGACGGGGTACAGAATCACGGAATCATAGACTTGTTGAGGTTGGAAGGGACCTTTAACATCATCAAGCCCAGCCATTAACCTAACCTGACAAAACCACGTCCCCAAGTACCACATCTACCCTTTTTTTAAACACCTCCAGGGATGGCGAATTCCCCCCTCCCCGGGCAGCCTCTTCCAATGGTTGATAACCCTTTCAGTGAAAATTTTTTTCATAATATCCTATCTAAACCTCACCTGGTAGAACTTGAACCCATTTCCCCTCGTCCTAGGGAGAAGAGGTCAGCCCCCACCTCTCTACACCCTCCTATCAGGTAGTTGTAGAGAGTGATTAGGTCTCCCCTCAGCTCCTCTTCTCCAGGCTGAAGAACCCCAGTTCCCTCAGCTGCTCCTCATCACGCTTGTGCTCCAGACCCCTCACCAGCTCCGCTGCCCTTCTCTGGACACACTCCAACACCTCAATGTCTTTCTTGTAGTGAGGATATCTCCCTGCCCACCCCAGCTCCAGGCTGTCCACAGCCATGG